GATCTCAACAAGTGATGGCGTAATCATTGAACTCCAACATCGCAATCTTCACCTTCTTATCCTCCAAATAGCTACGGCAATCAAAAACCAACTCCACCTTTTTCTCCCGTTATAAATATGCCTCGGGATCACGCCTACACCTAAATTGTAGAATCGTCACTTTTACATTACCTAAATTACCATCAGTTTCACCTCCACAATTATTTCTACCATGTCGTTCAAACCTATCACCTCTAGGCCTCCTTCGTTTCATCTCATCCCTTTAATACTCATCTTCACCCCATTCACTACCGACCTTACATTCATCCATCCTAAGAACTCGCCTACTCGCCATCCGATTGTGAGGTACATCCACTGGTTGTTCCCTACTAAGATTCACCATCGAAGCATTCAATTGGTCCATCCTTGCTCCCATATCCTCAATAGCCGTTCAAACATATCCATCCTATCATCTTACAATCTGGCTTGGTTACCATTCTTGCTGGAATTTGAGCTTTCCATATCTGACACTCTCTCATTTGCCTCACCAATTTTCTCTCGGAATCACTCAATTGGCTTTTACCCTCTAATAATCTTACCATCTGCCTTTTACCACTCTATGCTTTCACCAAGTACTTCCAAAGACAACAATGAACTCACTGGATCAAACTTGTGACTTCAAAACCGAATGTGTGGATGATTGTGACTCAAGAGGAGTATAGAAATTTTGGAATGACACTGGAAAGAACACAAGAGCAAATTGGATCACAAAACAAATTGGATGACAATGAGAACACAAGAGAATTTCAATTTTAAATTTGACTCAAATTGGATGATAAGAAAAAATTGATGATCCGAAGTTTGTAGAGTGTTGGTAGTAAATCAATCAAACAAATCTCAAATTTTCTGTACGGATGAACAGTAACCACAATGAACAGTAACTTTTTTTGACACAAGATTATACTACCAACAAGAAATTTATGAATCTAGGAATTGAAAATAAAAACGACTCAAGAATACGAAGAAACTATGGAAAAGATAAGATTTATTAACTTGACAAGAAAATAAAGGATATAACTTGATAGAATTGGAGCCAAACCTCTGATACCAACTGATGTGAACCCCGTAGCAACGATGACTACGAAACCCACAACTAGATTGATGCGGAACCCAATAATGCCAATTAAACCCGATTTTGGATTTGAACCCAACAAGTTGAACCAAAAACCCAACGATAACGACGAAGCATTGAACCCCTTGATTACACAATGAAGAACCCATGATCCGATGTTTGAACGCCACAAGATTTATATCTTGATAAGGTCGATTGATTGTTCAATGGAAGAACATGGAAAGCAATAGCCTATTAATTAATAATTTGTCAAAAGTTATAATACAATAAAGGTTTTTGGTATTTATACCAAACCCTAGAAACTAGGAAAAAAACCGTGCATAATCTCATAAATATGGTAGGAGATTGACTAAACATAGAATTCTATCAAATAAGGAAAAAAAGGCGAAAAAGGAAATAATCTGGCCAGAATTTGCTCTATGCGGTCGCATAGAGTCTTCAATTCGACCCCAACCAGTTTCGATAATTGCCTATGGACCGCATAACTTGAGTAACTATGCGGTCGTATAGTTACCCGTTTCGCCTCCTTCTTTCGTGGCTTCTATTAAGTTGATCCATCCCGATTCCGGCCTCGACCCCAACATTGAACTTGCTCCATTCTTCTCACGATCGCCATATCGTCAACCGTAGCTTGAACGAGCAAATGTTATCGCCTCTTTCACTCGCTTTGTCCTCGATCGAGTCATCGGTCCGTCTTCCACTAGCAATGGATCCGTCCCTCGACTTGTCCTCGTTTCGATGGCACCTTGGATCATATCACCTCCTTTCTTTTGCAGTACTATATTGTTTTAAATAAATTTAAATGGCACATGCGCGTTCTAAACTACAAAATGCCGTTTTTTATGTGCTTAAAATTTGTAACAATATGAGTTGTTTTTTGTTTGTCATTGGAGTAATATATTACATTTTTTTTTTTGTTGAATTGCATATATAGACTTTGGTGCAATGATTGTCATTTTATATTCGTTGAATTTGAAAAGAATGATCAAGGTGCATGAGTTTTGAAATGAATAGAGAATGATCAAGACACTGCAACAAATATTTTTGTATAAAAAAAATATTTCATACACAGAGTTGTATGATGAAGTCCGAAAAGGGGTTAAAAGTTGATTTCGTTATTCATGACATTAAAATGAATTTTTTTGTTCTCGGCATGTCAAAATTATCATTAGTCATAATATGGGGCTCCACTGAAGGCTCATCAATATCTCTCAACCACATTATCAATGAGAGCTCGTATAATGACCACCAATTGAAAATCACATCTCATTTTTTTTTTTGTTACAATCATCCCCATTACAAGTTGATAGGCTAGCAGAGCTGAAAAAGGTATACGCTTCATTTGATAAAGTTGTTCGAAACAGAATTCCATCAACATTTCTCGATAAACATCATCTAACATCTCCCAAATAGAATCAAACTTTTAATTCTATCTTCAACGGGAATCACATAATCAAATAAATGTTTCATTTCTGCAATGAAAAACATAAAACAATCAGGTTAAGTAATCAATGAACAAATACGAAAATTCTACCGTAATACTAAGTGGTACTTAGCGCAATCCATTTTCAAAAATAGATTAACGGCAAGGTAATATTTTTAGAATTACATAAACGACAGGCGTGCCATGAAGAAGTCAAATAGGAATTGACAGGTCTATATTAATGGAATTCTGAAGATACGATCAATCACATTAGGGATAAGTTCTGATATTGGCTAATAAACAAACTTATATTGATATACACCAGTGTGGTTTGCTTAGAACATGTTTTAGTATTTGGTCGAAACAAATCCCGATGGTATGTTTTGTCTATGAAACTGAAGATCTCAAGTACAGTCTTCCTATGTTGCTAGATGTTAAGTTTTCTCAAGTTAAATTTATGCACGTCCCGTATAATTTTTGTTAAAGAAAATTTATTCCACATAGCGATTTTTGCTCTTTGTATTTGGAAGCATTAAATGTACGAATTAAAGAAACAACATGATATCACCAAAGTATATGAAAATTGGAGCTCCACAGAAAATAATTAGGATCAAACTATTAAGATTTGGAGTTCCATCTTAAAAGGTCAACCTTATTAAGAGGAATAACTCAAAATCTTTATTAATTGGTCTGTATCAACATCATTTATCGATGTGAGATATATATCCCTTAACACGCCCCCGCAAAATGGTGGCTTATTTGAGCAAACCAATCTTGAAATCCACGTACTCATGTTAGAGTCTTAACGGGATCGAATCACTTGTTGGATCATAATGGGCTCTGAATAAGAATTGAGGTTCCATCTTAAAAGGTCAACCTTATTAAGAGGAGTAGCCCAAAATCTTTATTAATTGGTCTGTAGCAACATCATTTATCGATATGGGATATATATCATTTAACACAAACTGGAGTAATTAACTAGTGACAAGTGGTATTTCAATATTCAATTAGTCAATTGAATGACAAACTTTCCAAAAACTACCATTCATCTCCCATTTAAAACCATTTTTCCATTATTTTTTAACATAATTTTTTGACATATAACTTAAATTTTTTAGCCCTAGTACTTCCTATACTTTCATCATCCAAAAAAAATGGGTAAGAAAGAACAAGAGCAGCTCAAATACAAATGTACCGATTCACATTCAAAGCAATTCAATGATTCATCCTACAAATGTATTGATTCACATTTCGATCAAATTTGGAAAACGGATGAAACACTCAAACCCAATTCTTCTTTTCGCTCAATAATATGAATGCAACCAAGTTTCGATTGCAGAAGGATTGAGGATGACAAGCCGCGAAGAGAGGAGAAGAAGAAGAAGAAAAAAAAGAGAAGTTTAGTTTAGGGTTTTGGATTCATTCAATCAATTTGTTTTAGGGGGAATTGGGATTTTGGTGAGGTCGAATAAGGGTTATTTTTTTAGGTAGTTTATAAATTTTGGTTTAAAATAATGGTGATTATATTACAGTCATAATTTTTATTTGACACACTACATTTTAATTGCAATTAAACTCTTCAATCTTTGTTCATTGTAGTAATTATTTTCTTAATTTTTTCCGTCGAATTCTTATTTTCAACATTTCATTAATTAGTATGTTTCCCCCTTAATGATGATTTATTTCAAAATATTTTGTTTTCATACTTTGAAATATGGGAAAAATATTTGTTGTACTTTTTTTAAAATACAATGAAAAAATAAGCATCCGTTTGTTTTTCATTTTTCATCCATAAAAATGAAAAAGATGACCGTTGTACATCACATCGAGCCATCAATTTTGAATTTATATCTCTTGTGTGGGGTCCAATAACGACTATATTTTTCATTTTCATTCTACAATAATGAAAACCAAATGGATCATTTTAACAGATTTTTGGACATTAGATTATTATCAAATACAAAACGTATTAATTAATGAAAAGTTTGAGGACGAGAATGACGTGACAAATTGTTAAGGATATAAATATTATAATGGGCGAATATTAAAAATTTTAAGTACAATTATAATACGGTGCAATGAATAAAAATTGTTTCATGAATATAATTACCTTTAAAGTAATTATTTTAAAGATTAGTATGGTCTAAGGCTAAAATCCAAACTGTGTTGTTAAATATCTTATTTGAGCCAATTAACACAAAAATAAAATATAAAAATCATTAAACAAATTGAAATATGAGTATTCTGCCCATGTTTGAAACCCATTTTGATAAGAAAATGTATTTTAAAATAGTGATTTTTTATGGTTGAAAATGAGTGTAAAGGAAAAAAGAAACCAAACAAACAAATGCCATATGGGAAATAAAAAAGAAAGTAATTAGCCTCTTTCGTTCTTTATCACTTCGACCTCTGTGCATTTTACGCACACAACACGCGCTGTCAGCGTGAAAAGAAAAAAGAGAGAGAATGAGAAACCGCCGGTTCGCGCAGGTTGCTATCAGTGAAGACGAGGATGACGTGCCTCTGGGGTCGCGCCGCTCAGCTGGAGTGGAGTACCAAAGGAAGCGCAAAAGGGTGCGTCTGGACGATGAAGATGAATTTGAAGTAGATGAGGAGAAATTGAGAGAGAATAAGAAGCAGAAGAACAAGAAGAAAGTGGAGGATCTTGAGATGGAGGCTGAGAGCCAAAATGAGGAGGAGCCGGAGGATGAGGAGAAAGAGGAGCCGGAGCCTGAGCCTGAGCCGGAGGCTCAGCCGATTGGTGACGTGATTAGGGTTTCAGGGAAAGGGAAAGGGAGGAGGAATCACTATTCTTCGTTTGAATACGATGGCAACAAATATGATCTGGTGAGATTTATTTGTTATTTGTTTATTGATGTGATAATTGTGATTTTATTATTTATTTTATGAATTCAGTTATTCCTTGTTTTTGTTATGTTTGTGAACCTTTTTATATGGTGATTTTGAGAAGGTAGGGATTTAGGTTTTGAGTCAACTTTCTAATGAGTTCAGAGGGTTATCTCTGTTGGTTCCCTATTGAATCGATGAAACTTGAATATATATTGTTTGAAAAGTAATCTAACTGTAATTCTTCTTTATCATGGCATTGACCGAATTTGTTATTTTGAAGAAAGGATTGCAGGACCGTTTAATCTGTTTGCTTGGCTACTTTTTCTATTGTTAATGATACTGGTGGTTTTATCACTTATTTTATGCTTTTAAGTCATATAGATGTTACAACTTTCAAATGGCTAGATATTTATTCTGCAAATTTGCTTCATATCACAATGTTCTTCTTTATTTGTAGGAGGACCCTGTGCTACTAGTTCCCGAATATACTGAAAATCAAATGCAGAAGCCTTACGTGGCCATAATTAAGGTTTGTGCTGTCTTTATTAGTTAAACTTGGTAGTCAAAGATCACATTCATTATTTTATGTTTCTGTTTCATGCTAATAAATTTCACTCTGAATGCTTGTATAAGTTCACCATATCATTGTAGTGTTTCTTTATGGATCTTCTTTGTATGTGAAAGCATGTTTCTTGGATGACATGCAATAATTTTTTAAGTAAAATTGACATTTGATTTGATTTCTTTGTTTAATATAGCATGGACTTTGAATATTTACTAAATTCTCAAGTAAGATGGACATTTGATGTGGGATTGTTTTGTTTCTATATGGCACACACTCTTGAAGATGTTCTTGTGGATGTTTCATGGTTTTTGTTGCGGTCACAAGATAATCTATGTTAATCTTTGAAGATTTCTTCGGGTTTATGGTTTAGAGCTGCTATTGATTTCCCTTATGTCGGAAATCAGAGATAAGTTCACACATGGCTGAGTTTAGTACATGCTAAGCTATGTTCTAGAGCATAACGCATGCACATATGACAAAAAAATAGGAATTTGTATATGATACATCCCTTATCAGTGTATGGATGACTATCTCTCAAGCAAGCATACCATCTAATGATGCTATTGTAAGAGGGGTCTATTGATAGATACAAAGCCAAGTTGGTAGCTCAGGGGGTACACTCACTCAAGAGTATGGGCTTTATTATGAGGAAACTCTGGCACCAATTGCAAAGTTCAGTTCGCGATCGAGGGCAAGGAATGACCACTAGACCAAGACACAGGAACAGGATAGAGAGATGGATGTTCACCCAACCTGATTGAACTGAATTTGATTATTTGATCCCCTCTCTTCCAATAGTGTAGTCAACCAACAAATAAAGGTTTTAGCTTGATCGAAACTCTAGTCGTTAAAGGCAAGTAGTTAAGCTCCTTATCTAGCCCTTTGACCGAATCTGTCAATTCTTGAATCTCTTTGTTCAGTTGATCCTTATGCTTTTTCTTAGCTTCTAAGTTCACCAGCTCTTCTAATTTGAATGATCCTATAAGAGCTAAATTGACTTTGTTGTAGCTGAAAGCTAGAGGTGGTAACATTCATTAGGTTGAAATTGGACATTCGAAAGGTGTATGACACTAGTAAATGACACTTTTTATTATAAGGGGGTGTTTGGTAGTGATTTGAGAATTGATTCTCAAATCAATTCTCATTTTCAACCATACATTTTTCAATAAAATAATATTTTCTATCACATCAATAATTTTTTCTTCTTTTTCAACCACATATTTCTCATCATATCACTATTCAAAAATCAATTCTTCCCCCAAAAATCCCTACCAAACAAACTCTAAGTTCTTGCTCACTTTTTAAACCAAAAATGTTTAGATTATCCTCCTTCCTTGCCACGGCGAATATGTCGATTCTTATCAATGGTCGCCCATCTGGATTTTTCTCCAGCTCCCCGGCTTGGATGTATAGCAAGATTAAATAAGAGGTGTGGCATATGGGAATGATGGCATATGAAATGAAAGGCTGGATGGGCCATTGTGTTGGGCTGCCGTAATATTTTATTAAGTTCTATCATTGTTACGCCAGAAGTAAAAGGTTCCACACTAGCTCCTATTCTACAGCGTGGTGGCGGGACTGGTAGGGGAGTGGCTCCAGGTGTAGATAGGGTTAAATCTACAGAGGTCATTGCAAATAAATAGGCCCCTTCC